GTCATGTGGCCAGCATGACTAAACACCAAGGTGCATGGAACGCTGTTACCTTCCCACCGAAGGGGTACCTATTTATCTACTTGCAAGTTCTTGCTTTCAAACTGCTAGGTTGGCAGGAGCTGGAACTAGAGACGGGAGCTCACTCCGTCGTGCGGCACACTCGGGTCTCAACTGCTGAACTACCGGCCTTCCACAGCCTGCAGTTCAGTGTCTTAACCACTTAAACCACTAATCTGAGGGAAACCAGCTATGGATTTTAGACTTTTTTCAGGCTTACAAGGCGCTCCTCCCCAGGACATGGTTTGAAAGGTAGACCTCAGCTTTAAAATCTGAGATGCTCTATCGCTCAGATCAAGACAGGTAGCCGTGTTAAGTGTTTCTGTAACAGCACAAAAAGAGCAAGCGTCCAGTAGCACCTTAAAGACTAAAAAATTTTTGTGGCAGAGTATAGGAACTGTCGTGAGTCCCTGCTCACTTCTTCAGAGTGTGACACAAAGCTGTGGACTGGATGGGCCATGGTCCTGATCTGACATGGCTTCTCTTATGTTCTTATGTCCCAACCAGTGTTCCCTCTAAGCTGAGTTCGTGTGAGCTAGCCCACAGTTTTTTAGCCTCCAGCTCACAGATTTTTGCCTTAGCTCAGGAAGGATGACTCCAGAGCACACTAATTTATGCAGTAGCCAAATCGCTCGCTCACAACTTCAATACCAGTAGCTCACAAAGTAGGATTTTTGCTCACAAGACCTCACAGCTTAGAGGGAACACATGTGCAGAGTGTCCCTCCTTTCTCCAGCTAGCCAGAAATAGCAGATAGGGCTGCCGGTAGGGTTGCCCTCTCCAGGTTGGGGAATTCCTGGAGATTTGGGTGGCGGACTTTGGGGAGGGCGTATTTTGGGAGGGGAGGGTCTTTTGTAGGTTATAATGCCCTAGACTCCACCTTCCAAAGGGGCCGTTTTCTCCAAGGGAACTGATTTCTGCCGCCTGCATTGTAATCCGAGGAGATCCCCAGCCACCGCCTGGAGGCTGGCTACCCTAGCTGTCAGTTTAAAAGACACGCTGGTCTCGAGACCACCAGAACGTGTGTTTTTTTGTTTCCCCAAAGAGCAAAAATACAACCTCGCTTTCCGAGGCCACCCACCGCGCTGGTGGCTGGATGAGGATTCATATACCCCAGCGTTCCCAGATCCAGTGTTTAAACAGAACCGCTCCGGTCCCTGCAAGCGCAAGAGGCCTGAGGAGATGGAAAGCGGGGCTGCCAAGGTAAATGGGTCAACCACCCTGTCTCCGAAGGCTGGAGTATACAGGCGAGAGGCACCAAGCGACCGCAGGGCACAGGGGGTTGGGCGGGTTCCAGGCCTCACTACGGAAAACAGAAGCTGCTGGCTGTGGAACTTGGCAAGCCCAGAGGGCTGATGTCACCCTGTCTAAATCAACAGCTCCGTCTGGGGAGGAGGCTTCTGTCTGGCCAGCGCTGCCAGGAAGCGCCCCTGGCCGGAGCGCGGCAGCCAAACTGTTTGCACAGCCTTGGCGGCAGGCCCCAGACCACGTGAGAAGGGCAAAGCCGGGGGTGCGAACAAGGTCATGGAATTCTGGGGCTGGTTAGCTGTGGGAGGAGGGAGGGATTCTGGGGAAGAAGAAAAAGAAGAAGAGGAGAGGAGATTGGATTCATACCCCGCCCTTCACTCGGAGTCTCAGAGCGGCTGACAAACTCCTTTCCCTGCCCCTCCCCACAACAGACACCCTGTGAGGCAGGAGGGGCTGAGTGAGCTCTTTTGAGAACTGCCCTTGAGAGAACAGCTCTGAAAGAACTTGTGACTGACCCAAGGTCACCCAGCAGGCTGCATGTGGAGGAGTGGGGAATCAAACCCGGTTCTTCCAGATTGGAGTCCACGCTCCTAACTGCTACACCAAACTGTCTATGGCAAGGAAGCTCTGCCCATTATCCTTCCTCTCTCCTCCTCCACAAAACCTCCCCGTCAAGACAGATTGACACACAAGCTAAGTAAGCTATAGTATACAGCAGGGGTCCCCAACACGGTGCTCGTGGGCACCCTGGCACCCACCAAGTGTTTTTAGAAAGTGGGTAGGGCCAGGTGGGGCTCTTGCCCAGCAGGGCATCTGATTGGCCACTAAAGATCTGATGGACTATGCAGTTTAAAACGTCCAGTAGCAGCCGCCACCACAGTGTTGGTTTTATTCTCTCTTCCCCATTGGAGAGCCAGTTTGGTGTAGTGATTAGGAGCGCAGACTCTAATCTGGGAGAACCGGGTTTGATTCCCCACTTCTCCACATGCAGCTGCTGGTGTGACTTTGGGTCAGCCACAAGTTCTCTCAGAGCTGTTCTCTCAAAGGGCAGTCCTCGAAAGAGCTCTCTCAGCCCCACCTACCTCACAGGGTGTCTGTTGTGAGGAGGGGAGGGGAAGGGGAAGGAGATTGTAAGCCACTCTACCCTATCATTGCGCCCTTCCTATCCGGGAGCAAAGCTTGCATTTAATTATATCCCTCTTTCCTCCACACGGCTGAGACTCGAGGCAGCTGAGCCTATTGCTTGCCCTGCCTCCATTTTCTCACAACAACCTTGTGAGGTAGGCCAGGGTGAGTTTTTGACGGGTCTAAGGTCACCCAGCCAGTGGGGATTCAAAGCGTCATCGGCCCAAGGTCCTCGTCCGCCACTCTACACACTCACAGCATTGGCTCCGGTCCAAGGGGAGTGGCTTTCTGCCACAAGGGGCGGGGCTATTAATGGCCAAGGGGTGGAGCCGGCACTGAATCCAAAGTCACAGCTCCCATAAAGGAAGGTCAGGACATACAGAGTGCCCTGATCTCCTAAGATACTTTAGACTCCTGGTTCCTAAATTCCAGGGCATCCCAAAGGTGCCCCTCCTTGGCCTTCCCTACCCACCCCACAATGCAAGGTCGTGCCCTGCCCAATGCTCCCTCTAAGCTGTGGAGTCTTGTGTGCAAAGATTCTACTTTGGGAGCGACTGGCATTAAAGCTGTGAGCGAGCCATTTGGCTGCTGCATCAATTAGTTTCCTCTGGAGCCCATCCTCCCTGAGCTGAGACAAAAATGGGTGAGGCGGAGGCTAAAGAACTGTGAGCTGGCTCAGACTAACTCAGCCTAAAGGGAACACTGGCCCTGCACACCCACAATTTCTGGAGACACAAGGATGCAGGGCGTCAGGCTACGGGGAAGAAAGAGGAGCATTTTAATATATTCCTGCAGCATTTCTGTTTTTAAACACAGCCATACATGCCCCTCAGACTTTCCAAGGGGCTGGTTCCAAATCAAAAGATTAATCCAGATGATTAAGAAAACACTGTGCCAGTTTTTTAAAAAAGAACACAGACGACTGAGAGGAGATATAACCATCTTCACATATTTGAAAGGGTGTCACACAGAGAATGGGGCGGAGGTTGTTTTCTGTTGCCCCAGAAGGTCGGTCCAGAACCAACGGGTTGAAAATAAATCAAAAGAGTTTTCAGCTAAACATGAGAAAGAACTTCCTGACAGTCAGGGGTCATTTCGTAGAAAAAGAGCTAGGGGGACTCATTAGCATAACTCATTAGCATATGCCACACCCCCTGACATCACCGGAACTGTGTCATAAGGCCACACCAGTGGAAGAGGCTTCCTTGGGATGTGGGGGGGCTCTCCTTCTTTGAAGGTTTTTAAGCAGAGGCTCGATGGCCATCTGACAGCCATGCTGATTGTATAAACTTAGGCCAATCACGAGAGGGAGGGCAGGAAGGGTCGCCTCAGTGCTTAGTTCTCATGGCCCTTTCTTAAATGCCCAGGGAAATACCATTCACCACTTTGAGGTCAGAAAGCAATTTTCTCCAGGCCAGTTTGGTCAGGAATCCTGGAGGGGTTTTTTTTGCCATCTTCTGGGCATGGAGCAGGAGTCATTGGGGGGGGGGTATTTGTGAATTTCCTGCATGGTGCAGGGGGTTGGACTAGATGACCCTGGAGGTCCCTTCCAATTCTATGATTCTGTGATAAAACAGGCCCGTAGCCAGGATTTTGTGGTTTGTGGGGCAATTTTTTTTCCTGGTGGGGCTGACGTTCTCCCTGCAGATCTCTAAATTGCAAGCTGTCAACAACTTTAGATGACAGTTCTCAGCTGCTGCAAGTTAATCACTTCTGCCAACCTAACCAACCATTCTGATAACAAGCCGGCAGGTGGGGGTGATGACTTCTATAGTCAAGAAAGCTCACACTTAGGCAGAAAAACTCTCTTAAAGGAGACCAGTTTCTGACACAGAGTTGGAAGGGATCCCAGAGGCCACGTACTTCAACCGCCTTGCTCAGTGCAGGAATCAGTCAACGACAGCACCCCACTCCACTTAAAGGAGCACACCCATTTAAAAATGTTTTTAAATGATTGAAAAAAGCATTTGCTGGAGAAATTCTTGTGGGCCTCTGCCTTTAAGAAGAAGAAGAAGAAGAGAAGAGATTGGATTTATACCCCGCCCTTCACTTGGAGTCTCAGAGTGGCTTATAAACTCCTTTCCCTTCCCCTCCCCACAACAGACACCCTATGAGGTAGGTGGGGCTGAGAGAGCTCTCTTGAGAACTGCTCCTGAGAGAACAGCTCTGACAGAACTATGTCTTGCCCAAGGTCATCCATCCAGGTGCAAGTGGAGGAGTGGGGAATCAAACTTGGTTCTCCCAGATTAGAGACCACACATTTAACCACGACATCAAACTGGCTCTCAGTTTGGTGTAGTGGTTGAGTGGGGCAGAGCCCCCAAATGCCCCAGCATAGCTACGGGCCTGAGATAAAACACCTTCAACTCTTTTTAGTTGAAACAGAACACAAAAGAAATTGTTTAGTGCAGAAAAAAAAAAGAAAGACTCCATACCAAAGTGCTGTGGACTCCCAAAAACCCAGTTTCGCCCATGCTCGGATTCTCTGTTTCACATCCCCCAAAAGAAAGAAACGGCTGAGGACCAAAAGGCTGGAGAAGACACAAACTGAGCCTCAGAGGATTCACGTGGATTTATTGGCTTCAGTTCCCCACCCCCACCCCGGACTCTGGAATGGATAAGTGGAAAAAGTCTGAGGAGACGGGTGGGCCGGTCCTGGCCAGGTACAAAACAGTCCGTGGAAAGATGACGGCGCACGTCTTCCGCCTGTGTGCGTCACTCCTCTTCCTCCTCCTCTTCTTCCTCCAGGTTGATGGCACGAGGCCGTAACTGGCTCGGCACCTGCCTCTGGACAGAGACGATGCCGCTGAGGAAAGCGTAACCGATCATGGCCGCCAGCCCCACCAGCACGGACAGGATCTGGTTCCGGCGTTTGTAGGGGTCCTCCTCGGCCTCGTCGCCGGTGGCTGCCTTGGGAACCACAGGCGGGGGGTCACCTGAACAGAAGAAGAGCCGTGCTGGATCAGACCAGTGGTCTATCAAGCCCCACATCCCGTCTTAACACACTGGCCAACCAGCTCCTCTGAAGGGCCAACAATAGGACAGAGGCCGAGGCCTTTTTCTTATGTTGCCTCCTGGCACTAGGATTCAGAGGATTACTGCCTGTGGGGGTTCTCTTTAGGCACCATGGCTCATCTTTGATCAATCTGTCTCATTCTCTTTTAGAGCCATCTATGCCCATGGCCGTCACTGCATCCGCTGGCAGCAAATCCCACATTTTAAGCATTTGTGGAGCAAAAAAGTACTTGCTTTTGTCTGTCCTGAGCCTACTGCCCATCACCTTCACTGGACATCCTAGTACTTTGGGAGAGGGAGAAAAAAAATTATCTTTGGCAACTCTCTCCACCCCGTGCCATCCTTATACTAATAGTGAAAGGCGCCCCCTGCGTGCGGATATCTAAATCCGCACATCGGGGCCACCTGGGGGGCAGGGAGATTTTCGTGCACATGTGGGGCGGTCCCCAGGTGTGCAAAAAAATCTGAAAACTGCAAAAAAACTATCGGGGGGATACTTAAATCCCCCCAAAAGTGACAGAGCGTCCCCTGCGCATGCGCAGGGAACGCTCTGCAAACGGCCTCGCTGACGCTTGGGGGGGGGAGATCGAGCCGGGGGAGGGTGGAGGAGACGGAGGGGAACTGGCGGGCTCTGCAAACGGCTTCGCCGACGACGACGCTTCGGAGCTGGGCGGGGGGGGGGAAGCGCCACAACCCGCCTGCTGCCTTCCTCCGACCCGCCAAGCAGGCGTTGGCGTCTGCCACAGTCCCTCCTCATTCACCAGGCACACACCGGCAGCACCCGGATCCCCTCCGCTCCCTTCCTACACATGCTCGCTCTGCACGCGGGATCACGCAGTCCCCCTCAAAGAACCTGGCTCTTTGCAACGCGAACAATCACTGCTAAATCACTGCAGAAAAACTGCTTTCCAAACTTTCACCCTGAGAGCAAAGAGGACCAGACTCTGTAGGGCAGATATGGTGGGAAGGGTTGGGTTTTTTTAGTTCCGTGGCAGTGCAGCTACTTTGCCTGAAGGAGTTCCCCAGTTCAATCCCCAGCAGGTATTTATTTATCATTTAGAACATTTCCCATGCCACCTCTTCAGAGTCCTGCTCGCGGCGGCGGCTTACAATTAAAAGCCACAGTATAAAAAACAAGAAGCCATTTTTTAAAAACCAGTTTTTAAAAAGAAGAAGAAGAGATTGGATTTATATCCCGCCCTTCACTTGGAGTCTCAGAGCGGCTTACAAACTCCTTTCCCTTCCCCTCTTTCAGGAACAGCTGTGTCAGAGCTTGTGACTCACCCAAGGTCACATCAGCAGGTGCAAGTGGAGGAGTGGGGAATCAAACCCGGTTCTCCCAGATTAGAGTCCACACACTTAACCACTACACCAAACTGGTAGTATTCATAAAACAGAAGCAGAACATTCAAAAGCCGATAAGATAAAAACCCCAATTAAAAGCCTTTACAGCCAGGACTAGCAACTTGCTTTGGCACCTAAGAGAAAGTAGAGTAGGTGCCAGGTGAGCCCCGAGGGGGAAGGGAGTTCCAAGTGCGAGAGGACACCACAGAAAATGCCCTGTCCGTAGTCACCAGTCGCCTCATCTCTGAAGGTGAAGGGGACAGACAGCAGGGCTTGAGAGGAAGATCTTGACTGGCGGGATACAGTACAGTACATATACAGTAAAAGGTTCTCAGGGACTGGGAGACAGGTCCTTCCCTGCCAATCAGAACAGACCATGCTGAGCTAGATGAACCAATGGTCTGGCTTGGCATAAGGCGGCTTCACGAGTTTATATAAGAGGTCCACAGCTAGAGCTATGTGTATCTTGAGATTCTGTAGAAACCCCGGGCAGAATATCATCGTGGTCACAGTCAGTGTTCCCTCTAAGCTGAGTTAGTGTGAGCTAGCTCAGTTTTTTAGCCTCCGGCTCACAGATGTTTGTCTTCGCTCAGGAAGGATGAGTCCAGAGCAAACTAATTTATGCAGTAGCCTAATTGCCTAAGTAGTGACAGACTTCACGTTCCTGGGATCCCAGATCACCGCAGACTGTGACAGCAGCCATGAAATTAAAAGATGCCTGCTCCTGGGGAGGAAAGCGATGGCGAACCTAAACAGCATGATAAAAAGTAGAGACATCACCCTGCCAACAAAAGTCCGCATGGTCAAAGCAATGGTATTCCCAGTAGTCATGTATGGCTGCGAGAGTTGGACTATAAGGAAGGCCGAGCGCCGAAGAATAGATTCTTTTGAACTATGGTGCTGGAGAAGACTCTTGAGAGTCCCTTGGACTGCAAGGAGATCAAATCAGCCAATCCTAAAAGAAATCAATCCTGACTGTTCCCTGGAAGGCCAGATAATGAAACTGAAGCTCAAATACTTTGGCCATCCAATGAGAAGGGAGCACTCATTGGAGAAGAAGACCCTGATGCTGGGAAAGACTGAAGGTCAAAGAAGACGGGGACGGCAAAGGATGAGATGGTGAGACAGTGTCACAGATGCAACGAACATGAAATTGAGCCAACTTCAGAGGACGGCGAAAGACAGGAGGGCCTGGCGTGATCTGGTCCATGGGGTCGCAAAGAGTCGGACTCGACTGTGCGACTGAACAACAAAAATTGCTCATTCACAGCTTTAATGCCGGTAGCTCACAAAGTTGAATTTTGGCTCACAGGACTCCACAGCTTAGAAGGAGCATTGGTCACAGTTCCCCATTTTGAAAAAAAGAAGCAAGTTTCTAGTCCTGGCTGTGAAGATATGCTTGAAAAAAATGCAGATCTCTGAAGCCGGACGGACAGGTGACTCAGATCTCCAGTAACCAGGGGACGGGGCTTTGATACTCCAAGCAGCTCACCGCCTCTCCCCAAGATGAGCAGGATCAGTTATGCAAATGAGAGGAAGCTTGCAGAACTGTGCAGGTTGCAGAATCGGATGACCCACTGCAGAATTTAAATTGTTTGTATAACGGAGAAAAAAAACCCACAAAACCCTGCACGTGGGCTTTCCCCTGGATCAAATGAGGGTTGGCTCCTATGACTCTTTTTCACGAAGACTTCCTCTCAGGGAGAAAGACTTCCTCCGCTGAAGACTTATTTCTGAGGGAAAACTTTCCCCCTCTGATGGAAAAAAAGCCTTTCTTTCACAAAGGAAGTCCTTCTCAGTTGAAGGAAGACTTGGTGGAATCCAACGCAAACTATCTTTGGGTCCATCCCCAAAGTGTTTGGCCTCCTCGCTGACCCTTCTGAGTGTGGAAGCCGACAATTCCCTCACCTCCCGTCTCCCACACGGCGGGAGCGGCCCTCACCTTCATCCCAGGGGAAGTAGAGACTCAAGATGGTCATGCAGTAATTGCAGAGATTTGGTAAGGTCTTCAAGTGCTGCTGGAGCTTCCCGTTGGGCAGCTTGGCCTTCAGGAGAGGGGCCAGATGGCTGAAGACAAAGGCATCCAAGGAAGCTGGCCTGAAAGAGAAAGAAAATGGGACACACTGAGAACATTCCAGCTCGTTTGGACTGGGTAGTCTGGGAGGAGAGCATGGGCTTGCAACTGTCCTTTCTGCTTCATAGGAAAGTCAAAAAGGAAACAAAGTTATCATCTGTGTGGGGAACGGTTGCCTACTTTTCTCGGCCTCGCGACCAATCTTTGGCCTCCTTTGGCCTGAAAGTTATCATCTGTGTGGGGAACGGTTGCCTACTTTTCTCGGCCTAGCGACCAATCTTTGGCCTCCTTTGGCCTGAAAGAGAAATAAAATGGGACACTCTGAGAACCCCCAGCCCGTTTGGACCGGGTAGTCTGGGAGGAGAGCATTGGCTTGCAACTGTCCTCTCTGCTTCATAGGAAAGTCAAGAAGGAAACAAAATTATCATCTGTGTGGGGAACGGTTGCCTACTTTTCTCGGCCTAGTGACCAATCTTTGGCCTCCTTTGGCCTGAAAGCTATAGACTGTGTGGGGAACGGTTGCCTACTTTTCTCGGCCTAGCGACCAATCTTTGGCCTCCTTTGGCCTGAAAGAGAAAGAAAATGGGACACTCTGAGAACCCCCAGCCCGTTTGGACCGGGTAGTCTGGGAGGAGAGCATTGGCTTGCAACTGTCCTCTCTGCTTCATAGGAAAGTCAAGAAGGAAACAAAATTATCATCTGTGTGGGGAACGGTTGCCTACTTTTCTCGGCCTAGCGACAAATCTTCGGCCTCCTTAAATGCCTTTACCTCAGAGACAGCCTGTGAAAAGTTCTATTTTATTGTGTTGTTTAAAAATCCCAACCTTCCTCCAAAGAACTCGGGGCAGAATATATGAGGTGGGGTTTTTTTTGCCCACCCCTCATAACAGCCCCGTGAGGTAGAAGAGGCTGAAAGAAAGAGTAGCAAGGATTTTGAACCCGGTTCTAGCTGAATTATTTCATACCCGATTGCTTAAAAAGCCCCTGATAGGAAAAGCTGATAGCATGAGAAATAAAGATCATACATGCAAGGAAAGTGAGGGTGAGTTCATTTCCCCTTGTATCCCCTTCCCCATGCTATTTTCTCTTTCCTTCCTTCTTTCCTACCCACCCACCTCCTGGTAGCCCCATATCCTCTCCCCTTTCCCTGCTTCCTTCTCTCCTTCCCACCCACCAGCCAAACTACCTTTTATCTGGCCCTCTTTTCAGCAATATTAATTTATTTACTTCATTTATAATACAACTTTCTATGCAATGGGGACCCAAAGAGGTTACGTCATTCTCCTCTCCTCCATTTTAATCCTCACAACAATGCTGTAAGCTAAGTTAGGCTGAGAGAGAGTGACTGGCCGAAGGTCCCATGGCAAGCTTCATTGGCATAACGGGGATTCAAACCTGGGACTCTCAGATCCTAGTCCAACACTGTTACCACCACACCGGCTATACGCAGCAGCTGTGGTTGAACAGTAGCAAGCAGCCAGGCCTGGGTGAGTCATACAAGTCTTGTGGTAGCAAGTTTCCCAGCGGTTGCCTGGCTGTGATGAGTCCCCCCTCAAGACCAAAACATCCCTGGAAAGCCCACCCCAACCTGCCAACATAAACCAAGGCATGGAAGCTGGCAATACTGTTGTAATTGCCTAGCAACAGCCACTAAGGTGTCAGAGGGCACTTGTTTCTTAAAGCTACAGGAACTCCTCCTATTTTATCTGTGGGGTTAACCCCAGTTAGCCTCCCCAGTGTATTTTTTTTCTTGAGATTTCAGATTTTTCTGCAAACTCGGGGCTTTCCTCAGGTTTGTAGAAAGATCTGTCTGGTCTATTCATGGCCCTAATATCCAGATTTAAGTATCCACAGATGGGGCATTGTTGAGAATTAGAAACATCGACGTTAATAAATATGTTGCCCTTGTCACCACTGACCCAGACTATCTGCACCACCACCACCACCCCTCAGCAGAAGGCCTCCGCCATCAACTCCCACGTGCCATTCCGCTGGCTACTTACGAGTCTCCGAAAAAGAACTTCTGCCTCCCAAGGCGCTGGGACAGGAGTGTCAGGCACTCGCAGGCTTCCCGGTACAGCTGCAGGGCACGGAGAAAGTCACTGTGTCAAAGCCCATCATGACTCACACCCTATCATGAAACGTATGTACACCTGAGCACACTCCAGAGAGGCACACCTCATGCTTTGCCAGTCCCCTTCTCTAAGTCATAAACTTTGTTAGCAGAGTTGGGGTTGGGGGGGCAGACAGTATCCTGCTGTGTGAGGGTGGTGGGGAGTCAATCAACCCTGATCAGTTCCCGTCTTTCCTGTAAATTACTCGCCCCCACCATGGTTTCCTGCTGGGCTGATGGGAATTGTAGTTTTTGTGATCTCCCAGATTGGACTGAAAGACTAAGACAACTCAGATTCACATAGAATCACAGGTTTTTAAAAACATAGCTTTGGCAAAAGCGGCCACCACAGCATGAGGATCCTCACTTGTGTGACCGAAGGTTAAGCTACGGCAGCCATTTTGTGGCTTGCTCCGCCTCCTGCGGCAGCCATTTTGTGGCTGTGCCCACCAACTTGGATCAGAATTCCAAGGATGCCCACAGGTTCAAAAAGGTTGGGGACTCCTGGGCTACCTGAGATTGCAACTCCTGTACCCTACACCAGGGTGACGGGCTTCCAAACGGCTTTTTTGGCCAGAAGGATGGCCGGCCAGAGCGATCCCGCTCACCTCCTTCTCCAGCACCTCCTCGTTCTCCAGGAAGTTTTCTCCGCAGATCATCTGCAGCCGCTCCAGCTGCCGCTTGTGCATGCGGACCGGCAAGAAGAAGTTCAGCGGGAAGGGGATGGCTTTGGCGTACCACTTCCGCGTGTGCTCCACGTAGTTTTTGGCATCCACCCAGAACGTGTGGATCTGGGAGAGGGAAAAGTATGGCACTGGGACCTCCAATACGGCCTGGTTTTGTTGCCTTTAGCCAGGCCGTATATACTCCAAGGTTGCACACTTATTTAGAATTTGGCATAATGCACAGAAATCTCATCTTGAGTCCCTTCTGCACTTCACAGCCCCGTCCCCCGGTGGTGGTGGTGGTGGTGGGAGGTGCTATCAAGTCACAGGCAACTTCTGGTGACCCTGTAGGGTTTCCAAGGCAAGACATTCAGAAGTGGCTTAAGAACATCAGAAGAGCCCTGCTGGATCAGACCAGTGAGGGTCCATCCAGTCCACCATCCTGTCTCACACAGTGGCCTCAACCATTTCCCCTGGAGGGCCAACAACAGGGCAGAGAGGCCGAGGCCTTCCCCTCATAAGAACGTCAGAAGAGCCCTGCTGGGTCAGACCAGGGAGGGTCCATCTAGTCCAGCATCCTGTCTCACACAGTGGCCTCAACCAGTTCCTCTGGAGGGCCAACAACAGGGCAGAGAGGCCGAGGCCTTCCCCCCATAAGAACATCAGAAGAGCCCTGTTGGATCAGACCAGGGAGGGTCCATCTAGTCCAGTATCCTGTCTCACACAGTGGCCTCAACCAGTTCCTCTGGAGGGGCAACAACAGGGCAGAGAGGCCGAGGCCTTCCCCCCATAAGAACATCAGAAGAGCCCTGTTGGATCAGACCAGGGACGGTCCATCTAGTCCAGCATCCTGTCTCGTCCAGTGGCCCCAACCAGTTCCTCTGGAGGGCCAACAGACAGTGTATAGTGGCCGAGGCCTTCCCCTCATAAGGATATCAGAAGAGCCCTGCTGGATCAGACCAGTGAAGGTCCATCCAGTCCACCATCCTGTCTCACACAGTGGCCTCAACCTGTTCCCCTGGGGGGCCAACAACAAGAGGGGAGAGAGGCTGAGGCCTTCCCCTCATAAGAACGTCAGAACAGCCCTGACGGATAAGAGCACTACATCCTCTGGCAGCAAATTCCACATTTTTATCGTTCTCTGGGTAAAGCAGTATTTCCTTTTGTCTGTCCTGAACCTACTGCCCATCAGCCTCATTGAATGCCCTCGAGTTCTAGTCTTTTGCAAGAGGGAGACAAAGTTCTCTCTGTCCGCTCTCTCCACCCCATGCGCAATTGTACAAAGCCTCTGTCACGTCCCCCCTTAGTCGTCTCTTTTCTGAACTGAGAAGTCCCAGACTCTTCAGCCATTCCTCATGAAACGGCGGTGGCTTCCCATTGCCCGCCTCTGCGTAGAGACCCTGAACTTCCTTGGCGGCCTCCCATCCAAGTACTAACCAGGGCCGACCCTACTTAGCTTCCGAGATCTGACGAGCCCCCCGCCCAGACCCGCCCCCTCTGCACACACAGAATCTCCCCCTGCTCTGACCTGGGGAACTCACCAACACGGGCAGCAGCTTCTTCTGCAGCAGAGACACAAAGGCGAGCGTGTCGGCCCCCTGCCGGGCCGAGAGGTCGTAATCCGCATTGAATTTCTAAAGCCGGAAGGAGACACAGTCAGGTCAGGGCTGGGATGGTGGCAGCCACGCACCCTCCCCGCCCCCCCCCCCCAGCTAAGTTTCTGTTCTCAGAAAAAGCATTTGAGGAGCCAACAACGAGGCTCATTCGTTAGGAGGGATGGATGCAAGGGAGGGAGTGCTGGGGGGGGGAGTGGGCGGAGCCACTCCATCACAGCAGAACAACCTCGTCTGCAGCAGTCAAGCATCGTGGGAGCATCGGCCCAGCGCTGCTCTCTCTCCAGTCTGCCTATGTGGGTTTCAATGCTCCCTCTAAGCTGTGGAGTCCTGTGAGCGAAAATTCTGCTCTGTGAGCTACCGGCATTAAAGTTGTGAGCGAGCGATTCAGCTGCTGCATGAATCAGTTTGCTCTGAAGCCATCCCTCCTGAGCGGAGACAAAGATGTGTGAGCCAGAGGCTAAAAAACTGTAGCTGGCTCACACTAACTCAGCTTAGGGGGAACACTGGTGGGTTTTCCTCTGCACACACACACACACACACACACCCAGCCCATAGGGCCTTGCAGTGAGGATACAACAACTCGGATCTTACCAGCTGCTGCCCTTTATACAGTTTCTATCTCCGGTACCTGGCATGGCGTTTTATGGCACACATGGCCCAGCCTGACAAAGTGACATTTATGTCAGATTCGGCCCTCATAACAAAGGAGTTCGACACCTCTGCTCTGAGGTGCCGCTGGATTCAAAATCTGGCTGGCACTGCGCTGCAATTCTCAACACGTCACCCTTAGTTCTGTTCGCTTTTGGGTGGGGTTATGTTGTCCAATCTAGGGGTCTCTTTCCTTTTTCCAGATCTTGAGCTCGAACATTCCTTCCTCCTCTGGTGCCCAGGGGCATCAACAAACGCCTGGAGTCACCAGCCTGGCCGGGGATACAGGGGCGATTCTCCCGGGTGCCGTACCTGTTTCCTGAGATGGGTAATAATCTGTTGCGTATCCGAGAGGACGCCCTCGTCCTTGGTCCTCAGCGCTGGGAGGGTCCCTGGAAACAGATGCAGAACAGAGGCGGCAGTCGACATTTTATCACCTGAAGGAGGTTTTTGGGGAAGGGGGATTTCCAAATTGTTTATTCCCCGAGCCCAAATTTATTTATTAAGATACGAAGGAGAGAAGTGATTGGATTTATACCCTGTCCTTCACTCGGCGTCTCAGAGCGGCTTACAGTCTCCTTTCCCTTCCCCTCCCCGCAACAGAAACCCTGTGAGGTAAGTGGGGCTGAGAGAGTTCTTTTGAGGACTGCTCCTTAGAGAACAGCTCTGACAGAACATGTGACTGACCCAAGGTCACACCAGCAGCTGCACGTGGAGGAGTGGGGAATTAAACGCTGTTCTCCCAGATTAGGGTCCGAGCTCTTAACCACTTCGTCAGACTGGCTCAAAAAAATTGTATCCTGCCTTTCTGCCCACACAAGGGCCACCAATGTGAGTATCGATTTAAAACACACGTGATATAATCACATTATAAAACATAAGAACATAAAAAGAGCCCTGCTGGATCAGACCAGTGAAGGTCCACCTAGTCCAGTATCCTGTCTTGCACAGTGGCCAACCAATTTCTCTGGAGTCCAACAACAGGGCAGAGAGGCTGAGGCCTTCTTTGATAATAACATAAGAAAAGCCCTGCTGGATCAGACCAGTGAGGGTCCCTCTAGTCCAGCATCCGGCCTCACACAGTGGCCTGAACCAGTTCCTCTGGAGGGCCAACAACAGGGCAGAGAGGCCGAGGCCTTCCCCTCATATGAACGTAAGAAGAGCCCTGCTGGATCAGACCAGTGAGGGTCCATCTAGTCCAGCATCCTGCCTCACACAGTGGCCTCAACCAGTTCCTCTGGGTGGACACAACAGGGCCTGGAGGCTGCAGCCTTTCCCTGATGTTGCTTCCTAGATCTGGGATTTAGAGGATTAGTGTCTCTGAATGTCGAGGTTCCCCTCAGCCACCATGGCTAGTAGCCATTGATAGATTTATCCTCCATGAATCTATCTAATCCCCTTTTAAAGCTGTGTATTCCTGTGGAATAACCGTAACACAGTAAAGTGAGGCCTCCCAAATATAAACCGGGGTGTAAATAAGCCTCAGGTGGAAATAAAAATCTGACCTTGTAAACTGACCTAAAGGCAAGGGCAGATATTCTAGAAGCCTCAACCTGGTGAGAACTGAGCCTGCTCTTTCCCGGTTTAACCCCCAAGTCCCCTCTTGTCAGAGTCCTGGGGCCTCTTCCAGGTGCCCAGCTCCTGGTCAGGGCCTTCTTGGTTGTTGCTCCTGCCCTTTGGAACCAGCTCCCTGATGAGGCCCGCACTCCACAGGATCTTCCTACGTTCTGCAGGGCAGGTAAGACCATTCCATCTGGCCTTTGGCTAAATTTCGTGCAATTGCCCCCATGCCTGTACCTGGCTACTGCTGTTTGGCTTACTCTCTAGGAATCTAATAATCATCTTTAATGTGTGACTGAAGATAAGCTGAGGCAGCCATTTTGTGGCTGACTCCACCTCTTGCAGCAGCCATTTTCTTTGGCAGCCATTTTGTGGCTGTGCCCAACGCACCGTGTCAGAATTCCAAATGTGCCCACAGGCTCAGAAAAGGTTGTGGAGCCCTGTCTTAAGGACAAGAAGCATCCTTTCCTTTCAAAAGGCAAAAACTGAGAGGGTTTTCTACCTGACATTGCCTGACGCGAATGCTATCAAGCGGTACCTGTTGCTGAATTATCATCTCCTTAATCCACCCTAAAGGCCTCCTTCTTCCCTCTGAAATGTTACCTGAGGGGCTTCGCCAGGGGTTGGCGATTTTGTGAACCTTGAGAGGCGCTCCTGTGAATCGGGCGTAAGTCTGGAAAGGAAAGAGGGAGAGAAAATTGAGTCGGGCTTGTAGGTCTTTGGGAGTCTTTTCCAGAAGGCACAGTGGAAATAACAATTGTTTTTCAATAGGGTTTCCTAAGAACATCAGAAGAGCCCTGCTGGATCAGACCAGTGAGGGTCCATCTAGTCCAGCATCCCGTCTCACGCAGTGGCCTCAACCAGTTCCTCTGGAGGGCCAACAACAGGACAGAGAGGCCAAGGACAACATCAGAAGAACCCCGTTGGATCAGACCAGTGAGGGTCCATCTAGTCCAGCATCCTGCCTCACATAGTGGCCTCAACCAGTTCCCCTGGATGGCCAACAACAGGGCAGAGGCGCCAATGCTTTCCTCTGATGTTGCCTCCTGGTTTAGTGCCTCTGAATGTGGAGATTCCCCTGTCGCCATTGATAGATTCATGGAGGATAAATCTATCCAATCCCTATTTAAAGCTGTTTATTCCTGTGGCCATCACTACATCCTCTGGCAGCAAATTCCACATTTTAATCACCCTCTGTGTAAAGTAGTGTTACCTTTTGCCCGTCCTGAACCTACTGCCCATCAGATTCACTGGATGCCCTCAAGTTCTAGTATTTTGGGAGAGGGAGAAAAATTTTGCTTTTTCAGCTCTCTCCACCCCACGTCAATTGATGCATCAGATTAACCACGTTAATAACTTTCTGATTTCTCTTAAAAGCACTCCATTTAGCAGAAGTACTTGCAAAATGGAGGCATCGGGTGCCATTTTGTTTATTTAATCTCAGAGCCGGAAGGGACCATCAGAGCCATCTGGTCCAATCCACTGCCAGAGCAGGAACTACAACTATAGTATCCCCACTGCTGGACCTCCTGAGGGCCCCTGGTATTTTTGGCCACTGTATGACAGAGTGTTGGACTGGATGGGCCATTGGCCTGATCCAACATTGGCTTCTCTTATGTTCTTAACAAGTAGGTATCCAGTCAACACTTCAAAACCTCCAGAAAGAGACATTTTCCTCCTCAGCCACACAGAAGGGAATGTTTCTTTCGAAGGGCCTTGTGTGACATACGCACACAGCATCAAAAACCGCAGAGCGGTCGGGTTAGAACAGATAAAAGGAAGTACTTCTTCACCCAAAGAGTGATTAACACATGGAATTCACTGCCACAGGAAGTGGTGGCGGCTACAAGCATGGACGGCTTCAAAAGGGAATTAGATAAGCATATGGAGCAGAGGTCCGTCAGTGGATATTAGCCACAAGGTATAGATAGGGGCTCTGGGGCAAATGATGCTCTGTCTTCTTGGTGCTTGGGGGGGGGGGGTCAACAGTGGGAGGGCTTCAAATGTCCTGGCCCCACTGCTGGACCTCCTGATGGCACTGGTATTTCTGGCCACTGTGTGACACAGAATGTTGGACTGGATGGGCCTTTGGCCTGATCCAACGTTGGCGTCTCTTATGTTCTTATGTTCTTAAATGAGGTGGTCTTCCTTATAAACCACAGTGCCCTCATGGGCTTCACAAACTTTCTCATCATACGATCAGGTGAGTCAGTATTATTGCTGTATCGAAATGTCTGAACCCCACGCCAATGACAAAGGTAGAAAAACCAGGCCACCCACAGACAAGTTAGGGGCCTTGATATATGCACAGGGTGTGTGTGTGTGGGGGGGAGACTCTCCTTAGCTCAGGAGTTGCCAACATGGTGTGTGTGGGTGCCACATCACCCTTCTGTGGCCTGCCAATTCTTTTAAAGACGTAGGCGAGGCCAAGTAAGGCTTTTGCCTGACAAGGCTTCTGATTGGCTATGTGGATTTTTTGTGTCTGAAGTTGAGCGGCGGCAGCCATTTTGTGGCTGGGTCTGCCTTTGGTGGCAGCCATTTTGTTGCTGGGCCCCCCATGACGTGTCAGAATTCCAAAGGTACCTGTAGGCTGAAAAAGGTAGGGGACCCCTGTTTGAGATTTATAGGAAAAAACGAACTGGTAAATTAACCAAAAGATTAAACAAAAAAGAAGAAAATGTCCTGATGGGGACTGAAAATGCCCTGGGAGGAGGGAGACGGGGAAGGAGAGGGAGATGGAGAAATCAGCCAGGTTTGGTGTCTAAAAACCCTTAGAATCCCACAGGGGAAGTTCTGAGAGGTGCATAATTCTGCATGAACCTCCGCTTTGTTATCCTGATATTGCAGAAGAAGGCTGAGAGATGTGTGTTCATGCTGAAGCAAGATGGGAACTCCAGAGTTCCTGAGGTAGGTTTGTTGTTGTTCAGTCGCACAGTCGAGTCCGACTCTTAAAGACCCCATGGACCAGATCACGCCAGGCCTTCCGGTCTTCTACCATCCTCTGAAGTTTGCTCAATTTGATGTAGGTATCAGTGGCTTAACCACTGCACTGTTTTATGTACATGTAATTGATGGAGTCATCAATCTACCCCGTAAAGACGACACAGAGAAGGAGGAGGAGGAGGAGAAGGAGGAGGAGGAGATTGAATTTATACCCCGCCCTTCACTTGGAGTCTCAAAGTGGCTTACACTCTCCTTCCCTTCCTCTCCCCACAATAGACATCCTGTGAGGTAGGTGGGGCTGAGAGAGCTCTTTCGAGGATGGCTCTTGAGAGAACAGCTCTGAGAGAACTGTGACTGTCCCAAGGTCACCCAGCTGGTTCTCCAGATTAGCGTCCACTGGTCTTAACCACTACCAATATTTCTTTAACTGAGCAACAGCCCTGTTTTATAAAGGCTGAAACGAAATGCTTTAACACAGGGCTCTCCAATCTCTTTGGGCACTTCTGGAATTCTGACATGGGGGAGTGGACACACCTGGAAAATGGACACCTCGGGGCGGATCCACATACACAGGAAGTCCAAGAGCTGGGAGACATGAGGAGCAGTTTTTAGAAACACACCGGGAAAGAGGAGTGGGAGAGAGAATAAAACCAGCACAGTGCTGCCAAAATTATGTTATTTTAATGTGCCCTGCTGGGCAGAAGTCCCACCCACTTTTTAAAAACACTTGGCGGGAGCCAGGAAAGGTGTTGGCAGACATGATGGTGCCCACCGGCACCTGTTGGGGGAATGGGGACCCCTGCTTGAAGATCTCATTTTTAATAATCGAAGTTATCCTGGTGTTGCTTTGTTATGCTAATATGGAATAAACAAGAAAAACGTAACACACTGGAATTTATTGCTGACCACGGAAAAGTTTAAAAAGGGAAGTTTTGTTTTGTTACCAAAGACAGCCATATATATTCTCCTGCAACAAAGGGATTGGTCTCATGCCCATACAAAAAGCTGTCTCATCTAATGGAGGGATCTTTGACTCTCGAAAGCTTCTAGGAGAGCCACTTTGGTGTAGTGGTTAAGTGTATGGACTCTAATCTGGGAGAACCGGGTTTGATTCCCCACTCCTCCACTTGCACCTGCTGGGTGACCTTGGGCAAGCCATAGTTCTGTCAGAGCTGTTCTCTCAAGAGCAGTCCTGGAAAGAGCTCTCTCAGCCCCACCTACCTCACAGGGTGTCTGTTGTGGGGAGGGGAAGGGAAAGGAGTTTGTAAGCCGCTCTGAGACTCCTTTGGGTAGTGAAGGGCAGGGTATAAATCCAATCTCTTCTTCTTCTTCAGAGCAGTGGGCAGCCAAGTGTGTCCCAAAGGCAGAAAAAGTGAGCACATACAAAGTGCCTCGGTAGCCCCAGCACGGTTTTACCTGCCTAAGGCTAGAAATCAAACAGGTGAGGGTACATTTTTTTCAGCATGGAGATTAAATGCGGGGGAAGAGACGACAATCAAGCAGTCAGCAATCAAGCAGGCGAAGCTGCCGTTTTAGCAACGAGACGAAGAACGTGTGCATTCCCGGGCGGGGGAGGTATTAAGCAGGCAGGAGTCGAACCGGTGTGAAGCGCGTCCTACCACTGAGATCCCCCCTGCTTCTTTCCGGCCCCTCTTAAGAGGCGCAGCAACGAGGCCAGAAGGTGACGCCGCCAAACTCTCCTTGAGCTGCCAGCCGGTTCAAACGAGGCTCACCCCCAAGCCCCGAGACAGTCCCCTCTGCCCGGGGAAGGTTGCATGCAAAGAGCCCCGAGTTCTGGGGAGCCCCTGCGCCGCCCAGGCTGGGGATCGCCCCGGAGAGGAGGCGCCGCAGTCGCCGGCCGCCTTCGCTCGCCCCTCCCGGCCTCTGCTCACCAGCACCGTCAGGCAGTCGGGATCCACCGAGGGCAAGCCCCAGCCCGGGGCCCAGCAGTACAGCTCCATGGGCGCCGCCATCTTCCAGCCCTCCCGACCCGGAACAGCACTCCGGCCGCCGGCCCCGGCGATGCGCTCCGCCTCGCCAAAGGCGCGCCGCCCGCCGGTGCGCCCGCCTGCCTCGGCGCACAAAACCCAGCTCGCTCCAGCGCGGCAGGGAAGTCCGGGCTTCGCCCCGTAGGGTTGCCAGCTCTGGCTTGGGAAATACCTGGAGACTTTGGGGGAGGATCCGGGAGAGAGCGAGTTTTGGGGACGGGAGGGGCCGCCTCCGCATGGTACTGAAGCAGCCGCCTTCTCCAGGGGAGCTGATCTGAGATCATTTGTAAACGCAGGGGATCTCCAGGTTCCACCGGGAGGCTGGCAACCATATGCACTGGGGCTTCCTCTCAGGTTGCTGTGCGTTGGCTTGGAGCCCCGCGACGCGTGCTTCTTCGGAAGTGAGGCCTATTGACGCATACACAGTTTACCGCAGATTTTTCAGAGTAGTCCTGTCCTGAAGCCTGGATTCGAATTCTGTGCTTGCGTTTCGCGCCTTACTGAGGCAGGGGAACCGAGTTGCAAGGATCAGTGCAGAGCAATGAATCCCATATAGCAGGAGTGTCAAACATAAGGGGGGGGGGGGCAGAACCGCCTGGTCCACGGCTCTTACCTGACCAGCAAGCAACTGGTATGTATGGAAATACAAGGTACTCCCCCTTGGGGGGAAACCTAGTCTTGCATATGAGTATAAATACAATTATTGGGGCTTTTGTGGGCTCCCCCAGTCAATCAATTGCTTTCCCTGCTGGAATAAATTTTGAGTAAAAAAACAATATTGTTAATTGGGTTTGCCTGTGTCCTTTATAAAGTTTATATCTCTGGTACCTTACATTACCTTTTATGGCACACATGGCCCAGCCCACTAAAGTTACGTTTATGTCAGATCCAGCCCTCCTAACAAATGAGTCCAACATTTCTGCCATATAGAGTGTTGCTCACTGCAGGTGGGGGAAATTCCTGGAGATTTGGGGGTAGAGCCTGAGGAAGATAAGATATGGGCAGGGCGCAATGCCTTAGAGTCCCCCCCACGAAGAAATCATTTTCTCCGGGGAACTGATCTCTGTTGTCTGGGGATCACTATTAATTCTGGGAGATCCCCAGGCCCCACCTGGAAATTGGCAGCTCTAATTCCACAGGATGCGATGGGGTTCACTCCCAGGCAGGGCTCTTTTTGTAGAAAAAGCCCAGCAGGCACTCATTAGCATAATAGGCCACGCCCAACAGCCAAAATCCATTAGCATATTGGGCCACACCCCCGACAGCACAGCTCGTTGGCATATTAGGCCACACCCCCATGTTACCAGAAGGGTGCTCATCCAGCCACGCCCACCTTTTGCTTCTTATTCTGCTTACCTTGTTTGTTGTCAAAACCCAGGCCTTTTTTTTTGTAGCAGGAACTCCTTTGCATGTTAGGCCACACCCCTAATGTAGCCAATCCTAATGAGTTTCTGCTGTTGGGTGTGGCCTGTTATGCTAATGAGTTCCTGCTGGACGTGGCCAATTTAGGAGCCAGCCGGAACTCCGTTCCTGTGCGTTCCTGCCCAAAAATAGCCCTGCTCCCAGGTGTGTTTGACTTGCAGCGTGGAAGTTGTATCCGGAAGTAAGCCCTACAGAGGTGGGGTTGCCAATTCTGTCTTGGGAAATTCCTGGAGTTTTGGGGTGGGGAGGTGGAGCCTAGGGAGGCAGGGTTTGGGGAGGGGAGGGTATAATGTCATAGAGTCCCCCCACCCTCCAAGTATCAATCCATCGCCTGTTGTGTTGTGGCTTCCTCTTTTCCTGCTGCCTTCAGCTTCTCCTAGGATTGTTGTCTTTTCCAGTGACTCTTGTCTTCTTCTAATCTGACCAAAGGACAATAGCCTCAGTTTAGTCATCTCAGCTTCTAGGGAGCGTTTAGGCTTGAGTTGATCTAGAACCCATGTATTTGTCTTTTTGGTGGTCCACAGTATCCATGAAACTCTCCTCCAATACTGCATTTCAAAGGAATCAACTTTCTTCCTATCAGCTTTCTTCATGATGTTCTTTAGTGAAATACAAATATCGGGTCCAGAAGTACCATAGAGACCCACAAGATTTTCAGGGGGAGCCCTGACCTCTATTGTCCTGCCAAGCCCGATCTCGTCAGATCTCGGAAGCTAGGCAGGGTCAACTCTGGCAAGTACTTGGAAGGGAGACCGCCAAGGAATACCAGAGGCAGGAGGCGGGGGCAGGCTTTATTCAGCCACTTCTCTGAATACAGGCCCCCAAGTAGGGGTCAGTCTCCAGAGGCCGCTGTGACTTCCAGGTGCACGCCCACTCACATGTGCACATACGAAAAACACAAAAAAGTACCCCCAAAAAAAGTTTTTCGGAGGATAAGCTTTCAAGAGTCAAATCTCCCTTCATCAGATACCTGGACTCGAATCTGGCTCTTCCACAGGTCAACATGGAGACGTTCTGAAACAAACAAGATTTGTCTCACATTTCAGAAGGGCGATTGCAGTAGCCTGCTCAGCCAAAATAACAAGGAAGGTTACTGTTTGGTGTTCTCTGACGCTTCAAAGGTGGTGGTCAAATAGACGTCTTGGAGTGCACCCATGAAAGGGCCCCAAATCTGACAGGTTCTTCTTCAGCAGCACTTGCTGTGGCTTGGTCAGATTACACGCAGGTATCTTAAAGAAAAGAGTTCCTCTGAGCTTGGGCAGAGTGTGCTTGCCTTACTGTTCCCGTGGTGGCACCAAATTGATGGGACGCCCCTTCCTATATGGAAACTGAAAGACTGGGGAACATCTGTTGTGGATTGGAGCAGTACTGATGGTTAAATTCGGAGTCAGTCTACCACTAAATGTATTTCTGTCTTTCTATTACTTTAAAAAATGCCTATGTTCCAATTTCTACCAAACAAAACAATATCTGCTGTAATGTAAAAGTGATTAGCACCTCTTCCATGTAAACCACCCAGAGACCCCTACGGGGGTTAGGGCGGTATATCAAATCGAAGGAATAAATAAAAATAAATAAATGTAACAATTACAGCTGAACTATATGATGTAATAAAGTATTAAAAAGTATAAAAATAAGGATGATATGCATACACCAAATTTTAAAAAAAATAACATAGTTGAATATACTGGATTTTTTGGAGTAATATTGTTTTCAGCCAGACAATTAACAATGGGAAACCAAGTTTCTACAAATGTTGATATATCAGTATTGGACTCGAAATGAGAGAAAGAATCGGATATCTTTGCCATTATAAAATGATGCCATATTCTATTTTGCCAAGATTCAATAGTAGGAGGGGAATTGTCTTTCCATTTCATGCCAATCATGCCATTTGCAAGACTGAGGACCCGCCCTCCCTCACACATACCCAATCAGATTGGGTAAGCTTGTGTTGTCCCGGCTTGCAAACATTCTGGGGACCTGGGACAGGTTTTGGGATCTACAGGATGCTGAACAAGATGGAGCGTTGCTCTGATCCAGCAGGGCTGCTCTTAGTAGAACTTGCATAACAAAAGAGCTCATCGCAGCCCTGAAGAGGAGGAAGAAGAAGAAGAAGGAGTCTTCACTCGGGAGTCTCAGAGCCGCTTAAAAAGTCCCTTTCCCTTCCTCTCCCCACAACAGAAACCCTGTGAGGTAGGTGGGGCTGAGACAGCTCTTTCAAGAACAGCTCTGACAGAACTATGGCTTGCCCAAGGTCATCCAGCAGCTGCAAGTGGATGAGTGGGGGATCAAACCTGGTTCTCCCAGATCAGAGTCCGCACACTTAACCACTACACCAAATGGACCTGGATAGCCCAGGCAAGCCCGATCTCGTCAGATCTCGGTAGCTAAGCAGGGTCGACTCTGGCAAGTACTTGAATGGGAGACCTCCTTGGAATACCAGCAGTCAGGAGGTGGGGGCAGGCTTTATTCAGCCACCTCTCTGAATATCCTTCAGGCCCCTAGTCGGGGTCAGCCACCGGAGGCCGCCATGTGTTCCCTCTAAGCTGAGTTAGTGTGAGCTAGCTCACAGTTTTTAACCTCCAGCTCACACATTTTTGCCTTAGCTCAGGAAGGATGGCTCCAGAGCAAACAAATTTATGCAGCAGCCAAATCGCTCGCTCCCAACTTTAATGTCAGTCGCTCACAAAGTAGAATTTTTGCTCACAGGACTCCACAGCTTAGAGGGAACATTGACGCGCACACATATGAAAAATACAAAAAACACCAAAACAGCCCATTGCCAGGTGTGGTTCTTACAACCAAACTGGTGTCTTGATGGGAGAAATGGTAATGGAAACGGCCATCAAGTACTTTTTCTCCCAAAGACTAATTAACACATGGAATTCATTGCTGCAAGGAGTAGTGATGGCTACAAGCCTAGACAGCTTCAAGAGGGGATCAGATAAACATCTGGAGCAGAGGTCCATGAGTGGCTGTTAGCCGCAAGGTCCAGACGAAACACTCTGTCTGGGACAGTGATGCTTCGGATTCTTGGTGCTTGTGGGGGGGCAACAGTGGGAGGGGCTTCTGGAGTTCTGGCCCCGCTGGTGGACCTCCCGATGGCACCTGGGTTTTGGCCACTGTGTGACACAGACTGTTGGGCCATTGGTCTGATGGCTTCTCTTGTGTACTTGTGTAATGCACAGCCAACTTATAGCAACCCCAGCAAGGGGCTTTCGAGGCAAGTGAGAGGCAGAGGTGGTTTGCCATTGCCTTCCTCTGCAGAGTCTTCCTTGGTGGTCCCCCGTCCAAGTACCCCGCCTCCTTAGTTTCTGAAATCAGATGGAATCAGGCTATGCCATGCCACCTTGAAGCTAGATGGGTATATCGCTTAAATACCTTAGAGCAACATGGACTGAATTCTGCCTACCGTAGCTGCTTTTTGTGAAATGATTTGGTAAAAAAATCTGTTGTGTACTACAAGGAGAATAACTTTATACAAATGTATACTATAATAAGAATCATTTTATAAAATATCCCACAATGTATCATTCATTCATTCATTCATTCAACCTGAATAAAACTTGGTCTTAAAGGTGCCACTGGACTGTTTTTTGGGGGGGCTC